TTATATTTTGAAAATAATTCAGGATTGATTGGTCTATTCAATCGAATATTCCCTAAGGACTGATTTTCCGTTCAAAATCTTGTCCATAATTCGTTTCTTGGAGTCGGAAAAAACGTGAATGATATCCTTGTGAATTCTAAAAAATCACCAAAAAAAATTCCCCGAATCCTTAATTGCTTAGCACATTCCCGTATTCTCATATTTGATTTTTATTAGAGAATAAATCAAAATTAAGAATTAATTCTGGCCCCAAAATAATCGGCGACTTGTTTTTCCATTTCTCGAAATAATGAATTCCTTTTTTTCCTCTCGGCAATCAAGATTGCAAAGATAAATTCTATTTAATCTATATCATTCACTAATTTCATCTCATAAGCATATATGCCACAAATAAGCCTGCAATGATTCATTTTTCCAGGCACGCTGCAAGGAACATGCCATCCTACCATACGCCGGATTGATAAAATTCCGGAGCGCTGGGATATTCATTCCAGATATCTCTCATCAACGGTATTTCAACTTATAAAGAAAACGTAGAATATAAAGAATTGAAAATATCGAAAATATGGTAAAATTAGTATATGCCAAGGTCCCATATCATCCCATATATATATTTTTTTTATATGATTTAATAGGAAATTCAATATTCTAGTTAGTCTGCAAATATATATAATTGAAGGGAAAATATATTGATATGAAATACATTTTTATTGAATAATATCTAATTGATATGCATCTCATTCTCATATTCAATATAATCTATTCGTTTTGAAATTCCGTAATCAATAATATCAAACGAAATATTTATAATATGATGAAAATATAATTTGGATAATTGAAGATCGTAATCGATTTTAAAATGGCATAATCCGAATTTTTTCTATAATATGAAATCTAATTCTAAAGAAAAAGAAATCCGAAATCCCATATTCTATATATCGATTAAACGAATCTATAAAATTTATTATATATTGATATATTTTTCTGCATTTGAGATTCTTAATTAGCGCTAGACGATCAATTTCCTATAATAATAGATTTTAAGAAATTAAAGATATCATATATTTTTCGAATTTGATATTCTTGAAAAATTCTAAATTCGCCTATTACTTACGCAATTTGATATATTTCAATCTTCACGCATTCAATATTATACGAGGTCATGAATTGATAGATAGATCTCTGTGATTTGGATTGCTCTTATTTGATATTGATGAATCTTGATTGCGATGCCCTCATATTTCGGATCAATATATTCATCATTGGTTAGTTCGTATCATGATTTGGAAAACGGAATTTTATAATTATTTATCGGAAAGGGAATTTAGAACGAAATAGAATCTTTCGGATTTCTCCCCGAAATCTCCAATAGGAGTCCCGCTGATCTTCTTACGATTCCTTTGACGTTATATCAGAAATCATCATAGGGATTTAAATAGATTTTATTATTATCTCCCCATTTCGGATTGCAAGAGGGCATTTGGTCATTGAAGATTATGCTATTATTGAGAGATTCAATCAATTCCAAATGGCCGATATCGTAATTAAGAGATTAGATTTGAATCCATTAATTTTGATCATATAGGAAATGGGAACGAAGAAGATATGAGGATTCTGGATTCGTTATATAAGTTGACGATCCGAGAAGATATCAGCTTAGATGAATTCGACGTATAATACAAATGCAAATCTCGATTGCCTTCCAACGCTTTCTCAAAATTGCTCAAAGATAGATAAGCGGGCATTCAAAGAAACTCCCATTTTATGCCTTCGAGATATTTCTTTGATTGAATTTCATCTCTATTGATTTCTCCTTCCTAATCATTATTTGCCAATCGCCAGATCGGAAGCGATAGAAGAAATCTATCTATAGAAATACTTCTAGATCTGAAATTTCATTGAAATATCCTTCGTATATTATCGACATTATCGTTTCTTTCTACGAGATATTGGGCCCCTTGGCGTTCGGCGGGGGACGGCGATCTTTAATATTCGCGCTAGAGATCTAATATCCCGCCTCTTTAGCTTCCGCAACGGCAATCTACGAGATAATTTCTCCTGTTTTCTCCATACGAATTATCAAGATATTCCGAGAAAAGATCTATCTCAACGGTTATGAGATAATCTCTATTCTCAAAATTTATATAGAATTAGTGCCAGAAGATTTCGTAATATCATAATTTTCGTATATAATATGAATGATATCTCCAGACGAATATTTCTCCTAGAAATATTTCCGAATACTTTCAATATCGTAAGAATTTTGAAAAATAATCATGAATTTTCATAAAGAAAATCGAGATGCTATTTTCTTCATAAAGAAGATGACTAGATTTTTTTGACGATATATAACTCAAATTCATAATATATGAAATATGAAAAATATCGAAAATTCAGAAATAAGAAATCAATCAATTCAAAGATATATAAATCATCAGAATAAATCAGATTTTGAGAGATCATGAGATCGATAATTCAAGAAGCTGAGCGCCGATAGATCATTTTCCCGCAATCTTTCCGAATAATTAGATAATCAATAGAATAATCGACTAATTTTTTTAGATATCTTCATTTTTCAACAAATGATTGAGAAATATATTGAGATAATCAAAAACGATTATTAAATAGATATATAGATTACCTAATAGATACGATATAAGATATGAATATAGAACGATATACTATTAAATCAATCTATTAATAGATTCATAGATAGATATATTATATAAAATTATAAAGTCATCAGAGAACCCCCAAGAATTATCTTAATGAAATGATAGAAAAAAATTGGCGCCATATAATTGAAGTTTATATCTATAATATCTCCTATTCTTTATTTTCTTATTTTTTTTTAAAAAATTTTGTTATGGCATAATTCATCAATAATCTTTTATAAAATCGCCAGAATTGATCCGCTGCCTGCAACAACAGAAAAAATTATTTGAGAGTATCTATAACGGGTAGCTTAATGAGCAAGCAACGTATAAGATCGCGGCTAGACCCCGATGAATAATCAATATAAAAGATCGGATATCTTAAAAACGGCAAAACTATAGCATCGAATGCGCGCAAATAATAAAGAGAGAGAAAACCCTCGAAATCTCGGGAGATCTTGAGTCGCGCAATCCCTCGCATCCGACCCTGTTTTTCGCCGTATTTATCTCTTTTGAGCTATCTGCGCGACGATTCGGAAGAGCGCATAAATCTTCGTAGATGAATATAGCTAATCTCTAGATTGGGAAAGATCTTAATTCTTCGTCTTGTGATTATGCGTTCCGCCGAACAGCCGCGCAGATCAAAAAGAGATAAATCACGCGGACGATTTAAGACCGCCCATGAAATCCGAGAAATTTTTGCTAGCTCGCCCAGCCCAGATTCTGAAAGATTTTAGATATCCGCCCCGGGTCTACACGTTCCTCCGAGCCGCCGCGCAGACAGCCAGAGAGAGAAATAGTTCGAAATCTCGAGAGATTTTTGCTCGCGCGGCCCCCGCATCCGGCCCAATCTTTCCATCTCATTTATTTTTCTTGCACTATCTGCGCGGCGGCTCGGGGGAACGCATAAATCCCCGTAGACAGAAACGGCCAACCGTTCTCCGTCCTGGGTCTATGCGCTCCCCGAGGCAAGGCCCGTGCGATCAACAATCTCCGAGATTTTTGGTCGCGCCGCCCGCACCAAAAATCTCGGAGATTTAGAGCCTCTAGCTTTCTGAAGGGCTTTAAAATCTGCGAGATTTTGGAGCCTCTAGGGAGCCCGCAGGAAGCATTTTAGAGGTGAGCCGGAAAGGCTAGGCCGCGCGTGGTCGAAATGGCCGCAAGTGGCCGCGCCGTAATATTGAGGTATTTTTTTCTATTTATGCTAAATATATTTCTATTGAATCTAATATATATGAATATGGATGCTTTTCGCAAACGATATAGCTCTATTTGAAAGATTTTAATTTATGAGGTATATTTTGGGACTTGCATTCTCTATTTTTTTAGATCTTGGATATATATATATATGTATACATATATGATGCCAGAGACGTTTTTATAAATTCAAAAATCATTTCAATTTTCCATTTTATATATATCTCGGGTAAATGATCCTGGCCAGCCTTTATAGCTGGCTTACTCACGCTAAGGAAGTTCTCCACGCTTCATTGTGAAGGAAAACAATTGAGTCCAAACCCATCATATTGTTGGCAAGATCCCGTGAAACCCATCAGCCCAAAGCTCTGGTCTTTAAACTCTGCAGCCTTCAGGCAAAGCCCGAGATCCCTCTTGTTACAGCATGCCCATGTCTCCAGGCCATCCCAAGGTCTCCTTCTTCGCGCTGAGGCCTTCGGGAGGGATGGCTAAAGAAATCATAAAACGTAATAAGTGTCAAGGAAATAACAATAATCAATAGTAAAACCTGTCCTAGGAGTCATAACAGCAATGGTGATGCGATCATGATCTGATAAGAACAGCAGTAACAATAGATATGAAAACAAGAGGATGCGTAAGGTGCTTGGCCACCTTCCAAAAACCATAGTTCTAATTCGTGGACACATATTAGAAGCCCGGGCGTACAATTGTTTTCCGAAAAAATTGCAACTCCTCAAAAAGTCTTCCTGATATCCCTAAATTCTGCTTGTAGTGCACTTAAAACCACTAGCCCCATTGACCCCATTGTAGCCTCCCTAAACCCTAAGGACTCAAAGACAAGATTGCTCCGATTTATCGGTTTTCGAATAATATGGGAGCTTCATGGATCGTAGTCTCACGCAGAATTCGGTCAGCATATCCTTTTCCGAAAACCCTAAGCATTGAAATCCTAAGACTGCGGGCAATGAAGAGCCACCCCAATTTGTTGGGGGGATGCCTACGAACCACCAGCTCTGCACCCTAATCGCCAAATATTTGGAAACCTAAATCCCAAGGTCCTACATGCCTGAAAATTCTAAAGCCGTAAACCCTGAACCCCTCAAAAGCCTGAATCCAGTCGCCCATCTATGGCTGTTCCCTCCAATCGTTTTAAGCGGGTAGATTCTTCATCTGACCAATCCTGAGCCAAAATTTGTTTTCGAATTTAAAGGGTCTTTGTCTTGTGGGGGGTTTAAGGCTTGGGGGTTAAGGGGCCTGAGGTCGAGGGATTTAGGGTTCAAGGTATGCTTTAAGGGCTTGAAGTTTAGTTAGGGGCTCAGGGCCCAAGGTTAAGTCGCAGCGTGATGGGCTCCAGGTTTGCGCTGGGGACGACACAAGCAATAGGGTTTTTTCTCGGGGGTCATGGGGAGTTAATAGGTTAACAACTCCGAAAAGCCATACAGTAATAACCACAATTATCACTATCACTAGCCTACTTAATACGTCTCCATGATCATCCAAATGCCCTCCCCCAAACAAGGCTCGGAGGGTGCGTAAGCGCGCGCCCCGTGATGCAGAAGTAAGGGTGGACGCGCAAAAAGCATGGCTGGGGTGGTACGCATGCGCTACAAGAGTGATTGGCTCAGTTACGTACAAAATCTGGGCAGGATTTTGCTAATTTCTGGCCATGAATGCAGGCATGGCCGATCACGCAAAACGTTTTTTTCTCGCAAGAAAAATTCTGATGGGAACGATCCTTGGACTAATGGTGCGGCCTGGACTACTGGAAAAGATTCTTGGAATAATGGGGCGGGGCTTGGACTAATGGGGTGATGATTGCATGAAATCAGAACCCCTCACACCCTTGGATTAATGGTGCGCAGCTTGGACGCACTAGAACACAAACGTTATTATGGTCCAGGCACGGGCGCTCTCGTATCGCACCCCGTAGAACATGCATGTTCTTCTGATTTGGGTTTGGATGCTCTCGTAATTGCCTTGATTTGAACACGAACATTATTATGGTGATCCATGCAGAAGAGGTATTGAACACGATGCATGGAAAACCCGCGTGTGCCAAAATTCGGTTAAAAGTGTGGCATGCGCATTGATTTTGAATCGGCATTGTAGCAAAGGAGCGAAGAATTTGGGCACTCCTAGCCCGGGCATGAGGCAGCAGCAGAACGATTCGCCCGAATGCTAGCAAAAAAAAGAAGCCTTTCATAGAAAAATGCCGAAAAGTGTGGCAGGCATATTCATTTTGAGAGTTGGCGTCATCGCCGGCTTTGCGCGTTTACAACTCCCCGAGCCCCAAACAAACGTGGAAGCTGCCCTTTACCAAGGGCTGTGGTCTTTGCGGGTTTTCCGTGTTAGTTTGGGTGAACGTAATGTTTAAGGTTTAAACTGAAGCACCGCCCTTCGGGCTTTGTGTTTCGGCCTCATAATTTGAAGTGTATCTATATTTTGGGTAGTGTTTAGGGTTTAGAACACAAAGCCATCTAAAAACTTCAAGACCACCCAGCAAGCCCAATACCGCTGTCCAGAAAGCTACACGTCAAACTGAAAGCCCAAGCAAATGCTTTAGGGCTTAGTACCTAATAAAAATACCGAGACACTTCGCAGCCAAGAAACAGTGGATTCTGCTATCCAACAGAAGGAACCCTTAAACTGACAAGCCCTGAACCCCGAGCTCTAAACCAATTAACCATTCCCGGCCGGCCCTCTCTGAAGATCCGAAAACTTGTGGGGAGTTCGCAGGAAATAAAGGAATGGACGAAAATCGAAACAAGCCGTATGGTTGGGGACTCTATCAGTGACAGTGTAGAGATCAATTCCTCCATTCTCTACTACAAAAACACCGCTACCTTATAAACCTTAAAAATCTCCTCCACGGTTTAAGTTTGGGATGTTTGGCTTGAAGGCTTTCAGTAAAGTTCAGGTTGAACATTTTTTCGGTAGCGTTCAGGCTGAATATGTCAAGGTGATGGCGCTCTTTGCAATTTAGGGTCTAGGGTTACACATTTTTCAATGCTCGTTTGGAGCGCATTAACTTCATAGGGTTGGAGAAACGCATTCCCTGAACATTTCGGCTCCAAATGAGGCCGGAAGCAAGTCTTACAAACACGACCACTCACTTGGATTGCAATCAAACCACGCCGGCTACAGTCAGTTTCTCCTTTCGGATTGCGCGAGGAGTACATGTAAGATTGAAAGGACGTGCACCTTGAAACTCCTGAACTTAAACCTTAACTTCGTGCCTCCTGAAAGTATGGGTTCGGGGCGAAAGGTTATGACTGCTTCGAGAGAACCTTCACCCAAAAAGAATCAGCTGGGCAGGGCTTCACATAGCATTTATAGCCACGCGTTCGGCAACAAACGCGAAAAACCTAGGAAACCACTTCCAACAAAAGCATGTAGACAGGGTCTATCCATATGCCCTATGCACGATTCTTCCAGTCCCAACCCAGATCATGCTAGCGGCTATCCTCCCCCAAGCTAGCATGGAACTTGAAAAGGCCCTACAAGTCCATTCTCGTTTTGAAGGGGATTTTTGTGGGAATCTGATTGATCAGTGTAAGGGAGCATTTCTCATAAGGGGGGTGGCCCGAATTGAAGCCACACATATCACACAAGCGAGAGCTGCCAAGCCAAACTCTCACTCTGCAAGCCAAAGCCGTAGGCACCCCGACAGTCCATGAGGCTCCAAACAACAAGCGCTCCAAGCGCGAAAACCTTCCATCCCAAGAGAACCGCAAACCCACTACCCTCAACCCACAGCCCGCCAAACCTCAACCTCCTCATGAAATCACTTAAAGTCTTGTCTCATCTGCCCCAGTGTGTAGCGGTAGGTCAGGAAATTACCTAGGAGAAGGCTGGGTCGAGGTGTTTGGGATTTAAAGTTTCTAGAGCCGTTTAAGGCTTTAGGCTCAAGGCAGACGGCTAAGAAGTGTAAGTTATCCACAATGCTTGATGTTTTGCGCAGCTAAGTGCTTACTTACTCATGATCAGCAGGGAATTACAGCATCATATACATGAATTTCGTAAGGGATCCCCTAAAGCCAATTTATGTAGGCTCCTATTAAAGCTTTGGGGGTCAAGTTCAGGATGCAAACACTTTCAGAAGCCTGAAAATGAGCCGTGCAAAAACAACAATGCAGTTTAGGGCTTAGGGGTCTTGGGAAAAAGGCAGCTTTAGGGGTCCTGCTTTTTAGTTTGGAGCTGGGTATCTGAGGGCTCATGGGGATCAGAAAAGAAGTTATATACATATATATGTGGGGCTTTGAGTCCGATGATTGAGGTTAATCTATGTATCACCCCATTTGTAATTGCAAGCTATTTGCTACGTCGCTTGAGCCCGTGACTATCAAACGGCTCCAAAGGTGGGATGAGGGGAGGTGGGGTATAGGAAATAAGCCCCAATATTGTAGAGTATATACTAAGGATCCTTAAGCCCATCTACCTTCATCCCACCTTTCGACCTGACTGTAAGTAAGGTTTGTTCAGTGCCCTTCCAGGCTGAGGTTTTGGCAGGCTTGCTATGAGGTCTTTGGTACGTTCCTGGAGGACTTATGGGTGTATAGTCCCCCTTAAGTAGATAGAATATGGGGTATATGGGGATCTCATTATAACATACCCAAAGCCATATTCTATCTACTTAAGGGGGACTATAGCATTCGGCATAAGGAAAGGAATGCCTGTTACCAAAAAATCTATCAGCATCTTCCGAGAAACCCACATGTACAAGCATTATAAACAAACTGGAAGACCGACAAACACATTTAGATCGGCCGCATAACCCCGAATCTCGGAAACAACACCGCCACCACCAGCCGCAAAATGAAAATAAAGTAGTAGAAGAAGTCCTGGTGTGGTAGCAGTGGACGGCAGCAGTAATAGCAGCAACGACAATGAGGTTGATGTTCTATTTCTACAACACAAATAATATCCTCCCCTGAACTAGCAATAGCCAAAAACCTCAGATCCTAAAACCCTAACCGCCGCATGGGCCCTACAAAGGCTACTGTGCTTTGATAAGACGGACTCTGCATAATTTCGTCCCGCCAATATGAAACCCTCCACCCCTTAATAGTCAATGTTCCATTGTGGTATACGATAATTCATTGGGAATATTTTACGTTAGGGGCTGGAGGGTCTTAATATTAGGGGAGGTGATTAATTCGACTTTAGGTTTGGGGGAGGGCTCATCCTACAGAACCCTCTAAAAGGCATGTTAGCCTGATAAATCCCAACACCTCCTACATTACCCCTGCAAGCCGCAAATCCAACTTCCTGAGTCCTGAACGAACAGTTCTGGGGAAAGGGTTTAGGGTATTTAACGAAAGAAGCCATTTCATCAAGGCGGCGTTTTACTTGGTTGGCAATACCGCGCCATTCCTTCGACCGTTCCTGGCATAAACCGCCCTTAATCAAACTTATTGGGGGTTAGTGATGAATGAAGGAATATATTACATGGGGATTATATAGGGATTATATTCCCTCATTTCACAAGCTCAAATTTGGGCCCCCTCCTTGAGGATTTTCTTCCACTTGAAACAAATTTGGGCAACCGAACCAATTTCGGCATTTTTTGGATCCCCAAACACAATCTTGCATCATGTTTGAAATTTTGAAAACTAATTTTGTTGATTTGTGGGCTATTTTGGGATCTCCAACACTCAAATTCGTTCCCCAAAGTTCACGGGCCTCCTTCGTGATTTTCCCTAAATTTGGGCAATTTTGGCAAATTTTGGACACCTGAGAAAAGCCGATTCCTTCGTTAACGCCAAGCAACGTGAGAGACCACAAAAGATATGCGTTAAAGCTTGGGAATCCTGCGTAACAGCCATCCCAAAATGGGACACTCCAGGTACCTTCGACACTCGGAAGGTCTTATGGTCTTTTGGGACTGAGGATTAGGGTTAGCAGTGCTTGCGGATCAGAATGAAACCCGTTTCAGAAACGGGTTTCTAAAGGATATGCGCTATGCGCCTCCTTTCAAAATGAGGATGTGAATCGTGTGGAAAACAAGAGGCCCCAAATTCTGAGAGATGGTCATGTGGCTATTTCTCAGAAAAAACCTATTGCCCTCAATAGGGACCCCCATAGCTTTCTGATATACCCCCTATTATACATTTCTAGGGTCCTCGCGGCCCCTCCTTTCTGAGGAGCTCTGATGCCATGGGTTGGATACTAAAACTCCTGCATGACCCTAAGTACCATAAACCTTGGAAATTATGGTACCTTGCGTTCGACTGGGACTTTAAAGGCTTAGCTTTCGAGGTTTAGGGTTTACGGTTTATTAAAGTTTGGGGATGCAGGCTTTTAGGGTTTAGATGTTTCAGGTTTACGGGGTGGTGTTTAGGGTTTAGGGTTTGGAGTCCAAAGCAGGGAACTTTCCGAATGTGGGCCCTGGCTTCAGACAGCTACGCGAAAACTTTGCAGGAGGCTTAGCATGTTTTTTGGGCAGCGTTCTCGTACTACGAAAGCAGAGCTCTGGGGTCCAGGATTCAGATATAGGGCAGAGGACTTGTAAAACCTGGTGTGCCTGCTTCCCCCACAAAGATAAACAGGCATTTGGTTAGGGTTTAAAAAGGGTTTGGCTTATTACGCGCTGCTTAAGCTTCAGGGCTCAGGGTAGCCAATATCAGGGCACGCATGTAAGCGCCTTAGGATCCCTACTAAGGCTGACCACAAGGGGGTTACAGGGGCTTCTCAGCAGAAAACTTTGCAGAACAGGCGCTTTGAGAAACTGCCGCGTAACGCCTCCAGCCACAAGGTCAAAAAACACGCCAATCCCTGAAGCCGTATACTCTAAGCCAAAAAACTCCAAAACCTTGAAGCCTCAAACCCTAAACCCTAGACCTTGAGCCAAAAACTCGGAATACATAACCCCCAGACCTTTAAACCAGAAATCCAAAATCCTCAAAGGCTCCCGGCACCCTAATTCTTACACGCTGCCCGCCAAGCACTCTTTGACCTGCCTTGCAGAAGGGGATCATGTCTGCTTTGTCCGCCTGGTTCTTCGGGTTCTGGACCAGTGTGTAGCAGTGATCTTCCTTGCGCAGGCTCCAGGTTGAAGGATTTACGTGGAGGTTCATGGGACTTACCAAATTCTAACAACTGTCTTAAGAGCATGGTATAATTTAGGGGGTGAAACGTAAAATTAGAAGCCCAGTCATAAGCTGTCGGAGAACGATTCATATTTGGCCACAAAGTTTCGGATTTTTTTTTCAGCTTTCAAACTTTAGTAATATGACTGGGGCTCCAACTACACTGCCTAAGTGAATTAAACCCTAAACTCATAATACATTGAAGAGGGTGCACGCTGTTTCGTGCATTTTTCAAGTTCTCTGTGGATTCCTCTAGGATTTTGGGGATTTCCTGGCAATATGGGCTTCTTGTTCTGGGTGTCAGCTGTTGGATCTGGAGGGGTTTTAGTGCAATTCAAGTTTTGCAAAGGATTTGAAGGACTGTCTCCTTGTTTGGGGTCACATTTTGTGACATAGGCTGCCCATTCAAGGTTCGCTCGACATGACAGTCAGGCTTCAAGACAGTCAGTGGTTCTCGCACATTGGGTTCCCATCGTTAAGGATGCTCTCCCACATGCGAGCACGTCGAAAGATCTGCATGAGCTTCCCCACAGCCTCCATAATCTAACCACGACAATATCGTTTATGTTCGAAGGCATACGATTACTAGAGCATCCATGCCCGAACCATACGAACGTTCCTGTTCGACAGCATACGATTACAGGAGCATCCATGTAATAACCTCTATGCTCCAGAGCATACGAGTACCAGCGCATCCATGCACAAACCATAATAACGTTCATGGTCGAGAGCATACGATTACCAGAGCATCCATGCCCAAACTGTCATAACGTCCATGTTCGAGGAGAGTATACGATTACCAGAGCTTCCCCGCCCAGCATGGGCCTGAGATTCTGCCGCCGCATGCATTTATGTTGGAGTTAACGAAAATCAACTGAAAACCCTCTACATGAAAGTAGCTTGTGCAGCATGAAAAAAGATGATTTTCCAGCCAACTCGAAGGCTGCACGCCCGAAGCACTGGCAGGCGTGGTGCAGCAGAGCACCACTCCGTCACTGCAATTTGCCCGAAACACGTTAGCAACATATGACCCGTGCACCAAGTAGTTGGGGCTTATGCTGGTTTTTTCGACATGGAACTTGAAAACTGGCTCCTTGTAGGCTGTTGTCCTTGCATTCTATGCTCCTTATTGTGGGGGACGGTGGGGGTTTGGCGTTGGGAGGGTTTTTTGGGTTGGGAACTTTGTGGTCAATCAGAGCAAGCCGGTGTGTTACTGGAAGACCGCCTAGCAAGGGTTGGATTTTTTGGGCATGGACAAGGGGGACGTCATCTTGAAAAAACAGTTTAGGGTGTAGCAGAGGTAGAAGCATGAGGAATAAACAATGACTGCGAGTTCCGTTTCGGATGCACCATACCGTGAATATACAAAGATTCTCTTTAGATGGAGGAAAACCTTGCACCCACATTTTTGTTAGGAAGTAGAAAATCTAAAGCATCGTTTAGAAGTGGGATTTTGCACATGGGGGGGCAAATTCATATGGGACTTTGTGCTGCCGGAAACCCAATATAGGGACCCGTACTACACTTGATTTAGGCCAGACCCCACATAACCCCTGTAACTCCTACGTGCCCCGATAGACTTCAATATAATGATTACACCATCTGTCCTTTTCTGGAGATTTGGTTGTCGGATTCAAGGATGAGCCTTGAAGAATTTCCGCCACCCGAAGTAACATGAAACCCCATGTAACCTAGCTTCAAAGTGCTTCAGTCTTTGTAGGGTCGTTTATCAGGTTCCATGTTAGTTTGGGGGGGTTTCCAGGCTTAGGGGTCAGGGATTACATCTTGGTCTTGATGCACGATATGACAGGCGGGTAGGTGATAACGTCTATAATCAAAATTCGGAGAATTTGGGTAAAATCACTGTTTAAACTGATTGCTACTCATCCTGACAAAGTCACATGAAAGGCCCGGAGAGATCATTTCCCTAAACCTGTAACCCTGTCGATGTAAGGATGTAAGACTTTAGGATGTTGCGGCTGAGGGATCTGGATAATTTTGTTAAATCTTAGGCAACAGCGATACGCAGTTTTGAGGGTTACTGCGAGTATGAGGATTTGGATTTAGGGTTTGCGGTTAAGGCTGAAAACAGCAACCCCAAGACGACCTCACCTTAATTGGTGGCATACCTAGAACATAGTGCCAAAAATGCCTTCTTTCCGGCTTTGGCGGTGCCATAATTGAACCAAATTTGGTTCTACCTTTCCTCGATCTGGCACTGGAACCCTACAAAGAGATCTATCAGAAGGACATTAGTGTTTGCAGGGCACATTTCAACAACCACAAGCTTGGAACCATAAGCCTAAAGATGAAACCCTGTACCTGAAGCCCTACTAACATTAAACCCGAGAACGCTAAACCCCCCTGTTGGTTTCGGGAATGCTGACTTGAGATTGCAGGGTGTTGTGCTCAGGGTAATCCCAGGTTGGTTTATCGTAGGGGCCTACATAATTTGAATGAAGATAGGGGGTATGGTCTTATGAATTTTGTTGATCCCGAAATCCTACAAAACCTCAAGCCTTCAAGCCGGGAGCGTCCTTGCATTGGCAGAAGCGCTCTTCATCCTTCCCGATGCACTCCGTGTTCTCCAACTGCGAGGCTCGAGCTTGAAGGGTGAAGTTTGTGAAGTGTTAGAGCCCCCTTATAAAGCGGGTACATATGTGTATATAAGGGAGCACCAAGCCATTGTAAGGGTGATATGAAAGCATGTAGGGACATGCACATATATATATATATATATGGTCACCCCCCCAAGAACTACCCAGAGGATGAAAACACTGTAAATAGCGGTGTGTTATAGCATTTTTGCAATATCCAGTTCTGATATTATTCTAGGATACTGCTAAACTAAATACAAATTATATGAAAGACTAGAATATA